TGGTATTACTGATTAACCATTTATCATTTCACATCGTTTTTATAATGTTAGCTTGAGGAGCTACCTTGGCGACGGTGGAAACAACAGTAGCCTTGTCGGCCTCGCCCCTCCTGGCGCCGCGTCACTCCAGGGAAGAATATTTCACACACATAGAAATGGCGTTTCAAATTTCAACAAGAACATATATAACAACATGTATACTTTACAGTGGTATAATATAAGTAGGTCTATATGTTTTCATACTTTTTTATTACTATTGTTTTTTGGTCAAGGCAGTGGTACCATCCGCGTGACTTCGCGAGGATGAGAGATCTACCTGTGATTATTCTTGTATTATTTGTTTTATTGTTATTTTTATGTTTATCATACTCCATGTTCATTTAATGTAAGATTTAAAACATCACGCGATGGTAGTTGAGTTGACCAAACTTTTGACTAAGTTATGCGAACAGGAAAGCAGAGATGCAGAGGTTGCTGTGGTAGCGGGTTGTGTGCTCGCCACCGGGAGGACATTACTTATTTTCCATTTTTTTCGGTAACCCTGAAGGACATCCTGTGGTTTAGGAAGGGCGGGGATGGAGCATTTCTTTTAAATACCGTGCGCAGCTATCCGCGACACCTTAATTTATTAGCGTGCTCCATCCCACCCTCCCTTCCGACCTCATTATTATCATCACCCTTTCTACCCATCCCGAAGAGTATTGCCAATGGGAATGTTAATGTTAATGATGGTTTTAAACTGAAGTCAGAGTTGATTGAGGTCCTCCTCTCCCCTCCCCCCATGACTAGAGAGCTCTAACAGTTACATGATACAAGGCTACAGGGGACCACACAGGCAAGAAGCGTTACAGCTGTCGTAGGACACAAAACAACATCTTAAAGAAAAACACACTTATGTAGGTTTCATGGGCATGGGCGCGTCTAGGTGCCTTGGGCTTCGTGGGCGTAGTAAGCCTCTAGTTTTCCGGTGGAGCACGCCCATTGGGTCGAGCCTTGGGAAGCCATTGACTGTGATACCCGGCAGGGACATGATTATGGGGTTCGATAGAAACTGACTCTCAGGAAGTGGAGATGGAAAGATGCTTTGTATGCAAGCTTAGGCAACGTTAGATCACGCATCTAAGTATTCGTTTTTGATTCTTTATTCGTGAAGACGCGTGATTCTATGTGAGTTCGCTGTCTTCATCAGACGGCTTTGATTTTCTCTTATTTTGTGGCTTACGGAAGGCAGTTGAGGCAGTTGCCCTTAAAAGTAGGCCTACAAAGAAGCTAGAGGCCGCATGTACAATGTTAGGCACTTGTGCCGGAGATATCACTGGTTGGCAACTTAGGTCCCAATGTTGGTGATGAGGCTGATTGCAAAGAGACAAGTGGAAGGTTGATTTTGTTAACCATATGCTGAGAAAGGTTCGAATCTAACTAACTTTATTTCTTTCCATATTAGGGTCAATTTGAATTGATTCTCACGCACATCAGTAATACAAGAAAAAACAGTTTGCCACCTGGTTACACCTGAATATTTTGACTAAGGATCAACAGTCCAGAGAGAAAAAGGGAGACAAAGGAGGCGTAAGAACACGAGAAGGATGTCAATGACGAGTACAAATGAAATTGACAAACGTGAAAACACACGAGAACTAGTCACAATAGTAGTAGTAGATATGTAAACATGATCCAGACAAGTTGACATACAGGAGTAGTACGCCCACGGGAGAGTAAAGGGCAGATAGCACTGATGGAAGAACAAGAGACGAGCGAGGTGGGGCTCGTCGGAGATGCAGAAGAACATAAAGGCCTTTTCAATCTTTACCCCATACAGTGTTGTGATACATGGAACATTCTTTTATATATATATTTTTCCTCATGCTTATGTTCAGAGGTGATTAATTATTTTCTAGTTTACCCTAAAACATTATATTATTGGTGTGATATTACTTATATACTACGTATTTATTTTCCACTGCGACGAGAGAACCGCAAGAGACCATTAGATTCGTCGAAATAGACAGTCCTGATTAGTGAAGTCCACTTTTTTGAGCCACGGTTTAAATACATGCAACCCAGCTTTTACCCGGCCATTGCTTCACAGAGCGTCTTGGAGCAGGTCTTAAGATATATTATATAATGCTCAGTTTTTGGGTTCGCTTCTGCACTAAACGTTATACTTATTACACGTCCTCTACACTATTGTTATTGCCAATGGGTTTTGGAATTGGTCTCGCGGCAAAAGGGCGGCGACTCGTCGCGTCACGTGGGCCTAAGGTGGACAATCGGGGATCTAAGAGTTGGTGTTCGCGGGTTCTTGAAGCCTGACGGACACGCGGGCGGAGGTGTGGATTCCGGTGTTGGGGAAGCAGATGAGTCCGTTCTGGCGGTATGACGAATACTGGACCTCCCGAATGGTCTTGAAGTTGTGGCGGGAAAAGATTTTGGCGGAGAAGATGCCTGGAGGATGAAAAAAAATTAGGGGCACATTCTGACGGGAATCCCCGTCGGTGTTATATATGCTAATAAAAAGTGCGCATCAAACATAAATGCCTCTGTGTACCTATGTTTCGGCATTAAGTATTAAAAGCAGGGTCGAAGGTGGGCTGAAAATAAGCGAGGGGAATGAAGAGGTCTCACCTGTCGTCTCCACCACGAGGCAAGTGAAACCTTGATCCCGAGCGACTTTGCACGACTGTTCCACTAACATGGAGGCGATTCCACGACCGCCATAGGATTTGTCCACGTTCAGGAGTTCGAAACTCATGAACTAGTGCAAAGGGGAAGTGTAATTAATGACTCCTGAACTATTGGAAGTGAATATAAGAACAGCATTAAAAGGCATAATTTCTTGAGCTGAGTATCAATGCGAAATACACACCCTGTCGACACCATATTGTCCGAAGAAATCTATATCACTAGCCAGCTGTTGTAGGAAGGACATGATCCTGTACATCTTGGGATCCTTCTGAGGGTCAATCCAGTTAAGAAAGTCGTCGGGTCCCGGGGGATCTCCACGCTTCTTGATGCTGTTGATAGCCACGCCCACAAGGCGCCCGTCAGCAGACTCGTCTATCGCCATCACTGAGACGCCGTGGGAAATCTGCGAGGACGACACGGGGAGCAGATTAACGCGCGTGGAAGATGGCTTTGTCTGTTCTTACCATATATATATATATATATATATATATATATATATATATATATATATATATATATATATGTATGTATGTACGCATGCATGCATGTGTGTGTGTGTGTGTGTGTGTGTGTGTGTGTGTGTGTGTGTGTGTGTGTGTGTGTGTGTGTGTGTGTGTGTGTGTTGTGTGTGTGTGTGTGTGTGGTGTGTGTGCGCGTGTGTGTGCGCGCGCTCGCGTGCGTACATGCTACATGTGTTTGACAACTCACATAAAAAGAGGAATGATAATTCCAATAACTTTGGAGATGATAATAATTGGTAATAATAAAAACAAAATTAATGATGATAATAATAATGATAATGATAATAATGACAATGATGATAATAGTGATAATAATAATGACACTGATGATGATGATCATCATCATAACGACAATGATTACAATAACGAACAATTAATGCATTATATCATTTAATAAAAAATGGTGAACTGGATGACATTAAAAACACACGTAACTAAACTGCACAATTCAAAGCAATAAAAAATGAAACATAAATGATTTTAATAGATGATTAAAAAGCGCACGCGATCAAACAACTTACCAAGTGTGGCAGGATTTTGGAGAGCCAATGGTCAACCTCTCTAGGACTGTCAAGATAGAGGGCCTTCCCAAGGGGCTCGTCCTTGAAGAAGTGATTGCACAGGAGGTCGACCGCTCTGTCCGCGTACTCCTGTGTGAGGATCTGGAGGGCGACGAGGAGGGCAGTCAGAGGAAATTGTGATAAAAGAAGGGGTTGTTTTTATTTGATGATTTAACAGATGAAAGGGGGCAGGGAGAAAGCAGAGATTATGAGAGAAGACGAGAGAGAGCAAGAAGAGCAATAGAAAAGCGTAAGAAGTAAAATAAAGTGCACTATTCAGCTCACCTTAAACACTATGTTCTCGTCGTGTTTGTGAAGCACGTCGGGGGGGAGTTCGGGCTCCGCGGGGAGTTCAGGTTCCTCGGGTTCCTCAGTCACTTGGTTCCCGAGGTTCTGGGCTTCCTCCTCCTGCGTTGCGCTCTGGGCCAGGGGGTCCTGCTCCGGCTCACTCGGGGCTCCCTCGCTGCTCTCCGTGCCGTTGGGCTTGCGAGTGCCCAGGGGCGCTGGGGGGAAGAGAGCCTTGAGGTGAGCTTCGTAAACAGTTGAAATGCCTGGATACTGGGTTGGAGGAATTCGAAATATTGCATTGGATAGTACCTCTCGAATAGTTGTGTGCGCAATATCATGCGTTTGGATACCTCTGAAAAATCTATGGTAGTGAGTACTGCGTCCAGAGCATTTCTGTTATTTGTTTATAGTTTTGTCCTTCAAATTAAAGTCGCACTTTTAGCGCAGTCGTGTATAGGGAAGTATGCGTTCTATAGAATAGACATAGAAAATGTACGTCTCCTATGAATTGTAGAAAACGCTGGTGTATCGGTAACTATTATAAAAGTACAGATCTTCCCGAGCATGGTTATTTCGTTCGAACTCAAGCCGTCTCTCATTTTCTCTGCTTTTCGGCGTTCCAATATACAATGCAAACATGCAATTTAATATAAGCGTACACATTCACAAGCAAATGTATATGATTTTCTTCAGGCTGTTTAAAGACAGCTTGAACATGATTAGGATCTTATTTCAGGCAAAAGGGATTTCTAAATAGAAATTTGATTAGTTTACACTATGTCCAATTGATGCGAAACGGAAGTAGATTGCAAATATTTTGTTTCTATTCGCAACAGAAGACACGGAGGCAAACTCGTCGAGGAATCAAGAAACATGAAATTTCATCAAATTGAAACAAGTCAAGAGATCCTTTTTGTTAAGGAACAAACATATTTCAAGGCAAATGATGAGGCTGATGTAATATATTTTAGAATAATGGAGTGGATGATTATGATCGTGTGTTAGAAATTAATTATCAAGGTGTGTCGTGTGGGACCGCTTACCGTAAAAAGCTGAAATACGAAAGTGGAAGCAAAGACTTAAATAAAAGATACAAATGAAACGTAATTAGATAACGATAATCAACTTTGATGTTTGTAATTACGTAAACGGTGCAGTAATTAAGAATAACATTGGGAGGCTTACATAAACAATTCTCAAGTAAATGCTAAATAGAATAGCCTGAAAATCCACAAGCCAAACATGCATTATGGATATGAGCACCCTTGTGAAAATAAAATCAGATGAATAAATAATTGTAAATAAAGATTAACTGGATAAAAAAAAAGACAGAAGACAAATAAACCAAGAGCACGAAACTGCACCACAGTCTTCGCACGTTTGTTTTCCCTCCGAGCTACACATACAACGAGCATCTCCTTCCGCTTGCTGCCCTCCCGAGCGCCTTCTCTCGTGCGCCTCCTGCTTTGCCTCTTTATTATGCACGACAAACATTCATAAAGGGGAGGGCGAGGGGCGAATTATACCGGGGCGCGGATGGGACAGGCGAACAGATGCGCGCGGGACACATACTGACTGATGGTAGGCAAATGGAGGTAGAAAAGGGCAGAGGAGAGAAAGTTAGACGAGGAGAGAGAGGATGTGAGTATACGTGGGAGTGAGAGAAAAAGGGAAAAGTGGAAAAGGTGGTAAGAATGGAGAGAGAGAGAGAGAGCGAGCGAGCAAGCGAGAGGAACACTTCTGCATGTCTATCTGCATGATTGTTTAATCTATGTGTCAAGGGAGTGGGGAGGAAAAGGCCCGATGAAATGCCAATGGAGAGGACGAAGAGAAGCGAATTGAGGATTAAATATTACAAAGGACAAAAAGAGGGAGAGGAAGTCAATGAAAAGGGAGGCTCATTGAATCAACTAGAATGTGGAAAACGGAGAATTGGTTGGAAGGAATAGGTAATGAGAGAAAGATGTGAAAGGCATTGAAGAATATGCAAACGTCATTAAAGAAGGGCCGAAAATAGATCCAAAGGCACCTTGGAAGGTGCTTAGATACACCAGCAAGCTTGGAGGTACCGGGAGCAGATAAGTAATACTCAAGGAAAACGGCACATGCACGCACGTACACGCAACCAACGCGCAAATACTTAAATTTGTATAAATGTATATATATATATATATATATATATATATATATATATATATATATTATATATATAATATATACACACACACATATGTATACATATATATGATATATATGTATGTATACATATATGGATATATATCATATATAGATATATATATATAGATATATAGATATATAGATATACATACACATACTCACAAACATAAACATACATATAGGTTTATATAACTATATACACAATATATCGTTTAGTGTATATATATATATATATATATATATATATATATATATATATATATATATATATATATATATATATACGTATGCATATATATACATATATATATACATATATACCGCGCGCGCGCACATATACATATATGTGATGTGATACATGGCACCGTAGCTCCAAATGAAAGTAATGAGTATGGAGAGTAGAAGAGAGAAGGGTAAAATTATTTCCTAGCGAGAAGCAGGAGCGCCGCTTTGATAAGCAGGGAGAAAGGAGCCTTGTCAGGCAGGATAGCAGGAGAGAAGGCGGCAGGGAGAGACGGGGCAAGGGAGAGACGGGCAAGGGAGCGAAGGAATCAATACGTTCCGTGGAAATCCCAGCATCGCTGTGTTACTCTAGCCTTAACCAGACGGCGGTGTCGGTAGCGGCCGGGACCTGGCTATCGCAGTTCCCGAGGAGGGCGACCGAGGTCACAGCTCCCCCGGGGCTGTGGGTTTGCTCGCTTCCGCTCCCCCCCCCCCCCCTCCTCCGAGTAAACAACGCCGGAGAAGAGGACCCGCTACTCTCAAACATACGCACCTACTTCTCTCTACTCGCCCCCCCCCCCATGACCCCGCGCATGCTCCTCTCCTGGGCCACTTGCTCTAACAGTGGGTCGCTTTTCACGCACGCACGCCCGGGCAGTTTCTATTACGGTATCTGCGTAAGAACTCAAAAGAAGTAGAAGAAGACACGGTTGGTATTAGTAACAGCAATATGATGGGTTGACAATAGGATAAAGCGAGCAATATTTTTTCTGTGTGTGTGTGTGTGTGTGTGTGTGTGTCTGTGCTGTCTGTCTTCTGTGTGGGAAATTCGTGATCGCGTCTAAGGCAGACTATTCGCCCATAAATTTTTAAGTGGCTAATTCTCGGAAAGTGAGCGTATGAATGCCTGGGATGGAGAATCAGAGAGGATCTCTCTCTCTCTCTCTCTCTCTCTCTCTCTCTCTCCTCTCTCTCTCTCTCTCTCTCTCTCTCTCTCTCTCTCTCTCTCTCTCTCTCTCTCTCTCTCTCTCTCTCTCTCTCTCTCAATCCAAACCAGCCTTTGTGAAAATAACATGAGTGGCAGGAACTTGGCCGCTTAATCTCTCTACAGTTGAGTAGACGCGGCGTTGGCATTGGCAAATTGAAAATCTTAATTGGTTCCGTTTGGCCTAGGGATCTGGGGATTTGCGCCTGCGCCTACCAACACACACACACACACACGCGAAGTCATTAAGAAATTTATCTTCTGTAGGTGTGGGTTGGTCTCAAGGAATATCAAATGAGCTCGAAAGAGAAACAGACAGACATACAAAGACAGATTGTGTGTGGGTATGGTATAAAAGTATAGATGATAATAGAAAATACAAAAAACAAAAAACAAAATAGAACTTTTCCCCAGCACAGTTTTAGATACACACCAGCTGTAATGTACGCGTCGTTCATGCCACGGTAAAACATCTCATTAACCGGGTGAAATATGGGACCACGAAATTCATCCTCCCCCCCCCCCCCACTCCTCACTCCCATTAAGGACGCTGAAGGACTCGTTTCCGATATCGGGCCAGCCGGTAGTAGTGTGGTAAAGTGCCGCTCCATGCGGATGCTCTGTAGTGCCACATTGGACCTGGATAGTGAAAGGATCCCCCCTTACCCCCCCCCCCCGCGCGTGTACCTAGAACTACTTATGTTCTCTAGGATTTAGTGGGGATAAGGGGGCGGGGTAAGGAGAGATGTATCCCCAGAGGGCAATGAGGGGACTGACCCCTCGCCACGAGCCAATAGCATTTGCGCGGGAGAATGAGAAGGGACGAAAAAAATCGAAGGTGGTGCCGGTTTCTTTTTGCATACCTCAGCATAGAGGTTAAGATCCAGGGGAGGTGGATATAATGCCATAGTTTGTTTTGCGATGGCTCGCTTTGGCACTACAATGTGTTCTGGAGTGACTTAACACTCGGAACCGAGGGAACTTCACGGCTAGAAAGAGATCGGAACAGTTAACGAGGAAAGACGCAGAGCCCAAGAGACCCACTTCTAACACCTGTAAGACCCACACAAACTAGCTGCAGTAATGCAAAGGCAGACACATTTTTCTGCTTTTAGGTACGGGCCTTGCAGCACTTTTCCGGAATTTTCTGGCTGATGTTAGAGCAATAGTAGCAGGGGGAGGAGGAGGAAGAGGAAGAAGAAGAGAAGGGGAATGAGGAAGAAAGAAAATTTAAAAAAAGATACCGAATAACAAGAATTTTGGGACGATTGGCACTTCATATAATAGAGAAAAAGAGAGAAAACTGCAAGAGGCTCTATTAGTGGGAAGCTTCTCCATTTGTATTGTGGTCGAACACGGGATGGAGAACCTTCCTCTGTGTTATTGTATGGCGTTAATTACATTGATTGGGAGAAGGAAAGGGCAGCGTGTATTGGTATGCTAGGGTTCCGAGTGTTTTCCTCTGTGGCTTTGCTTCGTGGTGTACGGATGTATAGATTTCCTCTCTTGTGTAGGTGAATGGATGCGGGTGTGAGTTGGATTGATACATGTGGCATTTTATACACACGCATAAGCAGAGACACGTACAAGCGCACTCGTTTTTTTTTCTTCTCGTTACTTAACTTTAAAGAAGCTCCCAGCTCCTAACCCTCTCCTAGAATCTGCTTTGATCCTAACTGTTTTGTGAAGAGGAATTACCGCTGAGAGGATCTCTAAGGGCCGCGTGATTAGGAAATTAGTAGAGGATGAGACGTGGGGAATGCAGGGAAAGGAGGGGGAGGAGGACAGAAGAGAGAAACCTGTGAAAAAAGAGAAGCGAAACATTTGGGA